TTTTACCAAGTTTCCCTGCTATCTTTGCCTTTGAGATAGCAGGGACACTAAGGCACACTACCACAGGCGGGACTGGCCACAGCGGACCGAGTTCTCTGTGGGGAGGAACAACGTCAAGTGGAAGCCACTGGTGGACCCCCGGAAGGTGCTGATGCCACCACTGCACATCAAATTGGGCCTTATGAAACAATTTGTCAGAGCTGTAGATAAGGTGTCGGCAGCCTTCAAGTACCTTAAGACTTAAATTTTGATTTAAAGCTTTCGTGACTGCAGTAATTCATATTCTTAGTTTTTTCGGTAAAGTCACGTTGAAGAGAAACAACAGAATAACAAAATATATATAAAACAATAAAAAAATTCTCACGACGTTTCGACCATAACTCAAACGGTCATCATCAGGTGTGTCGGTTTGCATAAATTTATTTTGAAAACGGCATATTTATTTATTTATATATATAAAAAAACGTTTGCGTCACGCGCAGCGATTGGCAGTTTGCCCAGGACTAGTCCATCTATTTTTTGAAAAGAGGAGGGGGGAGACGAAATTTGTTTTTATGTATGCTGTCTGAAAGCCACTGTAAGCGTGAACAATCAATCAAGAACTGAAATGATTTATCAAATCTTTCCAATGATTGCTAAGATAGAATCCATCTTCTCGGTTGAAATTGTTTCTGTGCTTGTATATGTGGATAGCCTCATGAACGAATCTCTCATGGAAGCCAGATGGCTTACAAAGAACCTCCGTCTTGGAAAAGTCAATGGCATGTGAGCCTACTGAATTAGAACAATGATCTGCTACGGCCGAGGTGTTGGTCCTACCGTGTTTAAGGTCTGCTTTATGTTCACGAATGTTATTCTGTTGTTTCTCTTCAACGTGACTTTACCGAAAAAACTAAGAATATGAATTACTGCAGTCACGAAAGCTTTAAATCAAAATTTAATCGCCTCTACGGGGAGGGTTTTCACATAACTTTAAGATTCTTCAACAAACTCCGGGATAAGAAAGCTCAGCTGATCGAGTCTCTCACCTTCCTGAAGAGATGCCGCGACTCTGGGGTAATACCAATCGCATTTACACTGACCTCTGCTGCTGTAACTTCTTCTAATGCGAAACGAATTCTTTTCAAAACTAGCTTAGCTCTTATCTCAGAAAAAATCAGACTTATACGCACACAACTAGATCAGTTAGACAAGACACTCTACAAATCACACTTATCATTGACGGCAATAATGTCCACATCGGATTGGGAACATGTAGACAATATGACTGCCTCTTCAGCTGCTACTATGTCGACCAAATGTAAGGAAAACCTGATTTCCAAATTTAACCTCCTCTTCAACAAAAGACCGGACCCACACACCAAAAAGGTAGACGTTAATAAAGTCGTAATTAATCGCAGTAACAGTTCTATTTCCGATGGTCTGAAATCCGTTTTAGCTAAAGGTCTAAACTTTGCAGTCACACCTAAACACATACCAGTTAATGATATAATTGCCCAAGTAGACGTTGCTCTCAGGGGCCTGGGTCACATCGCTGCAGACGTAGCAAGATCTGAAATCGCTGCAACCCTCAAAAACGCTAAGATACCAGCTAGCAACCTCAGCAAAGATGAGCGTTTTGAATTATATAAATAAAAAAAGAGGAATGATATTGTAGTTCTCTCAGCTGACAAAGGCAATGCTACTGTCATCATGGATAAAATAGAATACAACAACAAAATTAAAGAATTACTCGACGATGGTAGTTATACAAAAATAAAAAGAGATCCCACCAACAGCCTCGTCACACAAACCAACAAAATAATTTCTGATTCAACCACATTAATTGATCAATCTAAACAGTTTTCGTTGAAACCTTCTGCTGCCAGGCCACCAAGATTATACGGCTTACCAAAAATACATAAAGTTGATACACCTCTTCGTCCCATAGTCTCTACTATCAGCTCCCCCACCTACAAACTAGCTCGTTTTTTGTCTGAAATCCTGCGTCCTTTCACTGGAAAGACCACCTCTGCGGTACAAAATTCTACTCACCTGGTATCAACAATCAAGGGTATTTCCCTGTCCCCAGACGACCTGCTTGTCAGTTTTGATGTAGTTTCCTTATTCACCAAGGTTCCTGTACCTGACACCATTGCAATCATTGAAGACTTGGTTCATCAAGGACTAAACACTGAGGTACCCCCCCTGGTGAGACACTGTTTAACCAATACATACTTCACTTGGAATGGAGCTTTCTACAAACAAACTGAGGGCACCCCAATGGGCTCCCCCCTTTCTCCAGTTATAGCTAACATTTTCATGGAGAAATTTGAGACTGACGCCATCCAGACTGCCACTCTGCGCCCAACCTTATGGAAGAGGTACGTGGATGACACTTTTGTCATCTGGCCACATGGCCGGCCTGCTCTAGACCAATTCTTCGACCACATCAATTCCATACACCCAGCCATCAGATTTACCATGGAAGTCGAAATAGATGGCAAGATACCTTTTTTGGATGTCCTAATTAAAAAGAGACCTGATGGTTCAATGAGCCACTCTGTCTACAGGAAAGCTACCCATACGGATGCTTATCTGAAACCGGATTCCCACCACCATCCATCACAGAAGAATTCTCTCATCAAGACTCTGTATCATAGAGCCCAATGCATATCCGACCAGGAACACATAAGCAGTGAACTCAAGCACGTACACCAAGCTCTTAGGGCTAATGGTTACTCCGACTATACAATCCGCAAAGCTATCACTCAAACCATGAAGAAGAACCCTCTTGAGGAGCCTTTCAAAACCATCACTTTACCCTACATTGCTGGGATCACAAAAAAGATCTCCAAAATCTTGAATAAACACAAGATCCAGGTCCGTTTCAACACATTACATAAAATCCGTGATCTGGTTCCGTCTGTAAAAGATGTGATTCCGGACATACAATACCCTGGTGTCTACAAACTAAGTTGCCTCTGTGGTAGTAGTTACATTGGAGAAACCAAACGCCATATCTCGGACCGCATTCGTGAACATAAAGCAGACCTTAAACACGGTAGGACCAACACCTCGGCCGTAGCAGATCATTGTTCTAATTCAGTAGGCTCACATGCCATTGACTTTTCCAAGACGGAGGTTATTTGTAAGCCATCTGGCTTCCATGAGAGATTCGTTCATGAGGCTATCCACATATACAAGCACAGAGACATTTTCAACCGAGAAGATGGATTCTATCTTAGCAATCATTGGAAAGATTTGATAAATCATTTCAGTTCTTGATTGATTGTTCACGCTTACAGTGGCTTTCAGACAGCATACATAAAAACAAATTTCGTCTCCCCCCTCCTCTTTTCAAAGAATAGATGGACTAGTCCTGGGCAAACTGCCAATCGCTGCGCGTGACGCAAAGGTTATTTTTTATATATATATAAATAAATATGCCGTTTTCAAAATACATTTATGCAAACCGACACACCTGATGATGACCGTTTGAGTTATGGTCGAAACGTCGTGAGAATTTTTTAATTGTTTTATATATATATTTTGTTATTCTGTTGTTTCTCTTCAACGCGACTTTACCGAAAAAACTAAGAATATACCTTAAGACTTCTTCCCTAAGCTGTCTGAGGCAAAGGTCAAAGCCGGTGTCTTCGTCGGACTACAGATAAAGAAGATCCTGGAGTGCAATGAATTCCCCAAGAAGCTCACTAGTAAGGAGAAAGCGGCTTGGAATAGCTTTGTCGCAGAGGTTCGTGGCTTTCTGGGCAATCACAAGGTCGAAAACGATGTGGAGCTGTTTGAGACTGGTGAAGAATTACGGCACAATGGTCTGTAGGATGTCTCTCAAAGTCCATATCCTTGATGCCCATCTTGATAAATTCAAGGCGAACATGGGAGCGTACACGGAGGAGCAAGGTGAGCGCTTCCACCAGGAAATACTGGACAGTATAACGAGAACATGATGGGAGACTACATTTGAGGGCTGCTTTGTGAAAGTGATTTACAGTATAATCGTAAATCTCGAAAAACTACTCACTTCTAATTCTTTTGTAGTAATTTTTGTATTACTTTAGCATAAATACATAGTTATTTTGATTCATATGTTTTTTTATCAGACTTTATGTGAATGAAAATACATAAATTCATCCGTTTCCTCATTGAAAATAGGTACATTTCAAAATATCACTGTCCTGGTCACAAAAGCAAAGTTTGTGGGGAAAAAGAACCATTTTCTATACTTTTTAGGCATAAACAATTATGCAATAACACTAACTACCCAGGAACAAAAATTGCGTTACATAGTGGTGTCATTAATTCATTCGCACATCCAAATGGCGCGTTGACTACATACGGTGCGAAACAAGTTCAACATATGTACATACATCACACCTCCGATTAGCATGGTTGGCTACGTATAGTGTGAAAGATGTTCAACATACATACACCGCATCTCCAATTATCACGGTTGGCTACGTATGGTGTGAAAGAAGTTCAACATACATACACCACACCTCCGATTAGCACGGTTGTCTACGCACGGTGTGAAAGTTCAACATACATATAGACATACAAAAACCTCACTGAGTCTCAAGACTCTTTGTCAGGAAGGTCTTGGCAAATTTTCACAGTAGGGGGGTGGGCGATGCTGCTGCTGTGCGTAATCCCCAATTGGGCAACTTGCAGCCAATACCATGGCCAGTCATGGTGCACTATTTTTGCTAAGCTGTGGAAGGAAAACTGGAGAATCCGGAAAGAAATCCATGGAAAACACCGGGGGTGGGAAGAGAGAACACACAAACACCGCACAGAGAGACGACTCCAGTCGGGTATCGAACCTCTGCCCCCACTTCTTGCTGCGAGACGCGAGCGTCGCCACTGCTCTAACGCTACCCTGTCGGTGCGGAGTTTAGAGGGAAGCTGCACCGCACCGCATCACACCGCACCACACCAAACCGTACCGCACCACACCACACCGCACCACACCGCACCACGCCGAAGCGACGCCAACTCACCAATGCACACGAGGTCCATGAAGCCGTACATGCCGTAGCAGATCTGGAAGAGCATGTCCTGGCGCTGCCAGCGGGCCGAGGTGCTGAACGCCGACCACACGAGCCACAGGATGCTCGCCACGAGGAAGAGGCAGCCCAGGATGACCGCCGCTATCTGCACCTTCTCGATCATGGTCAGCGAGATGGCTTGCCACTGGCAGGGGGGGGGGAGGCAGTGGAAGAGGAGGGAGGATGATGTGACACCATTCAGCAGGCATCGTCTGCATGTGGGGGGGAATCCCACCTCGCGGGCAACAACGCCGTTGCTCTCACGTCGGTTTGCCGCAACCTGTCCTGAATATGGGCAGGGCAGTGCGCATCACGGTCACTTGGCAGGCATGAATGTTCGTATGTACATTATGTACGTTTAACTTCTTTCGCACCATACGTGGCCAACCGTGCTAATCGGAGGTGCGAGGAAAGGACAACAAACTAAACACAAAAAGCAGCTCTAAAGAAATTCGTTTGTTAATGTAGATGGTTTAAAAGTACACGGTTCTCAGTGGCTTCCTCAGTGGGCATCACCGTCACTCACGCTGCCAGTGATTTATTTGACTCCCCCGGGCCGCACCCAGGGATCCCACACGACCCATGCGGGTGACCTCTGGCCACGCCAGCCCAGCGATTCCCCGGCCGGTTGTGAACCCGGCATCCACCTCCGCACCGCACGGCTATCGACGACGATGGCTTGCCTTTCATATGTCCGGGAATTATTTTGCGTCGCATCCTCTACCCAGAACCGCTGTACAGTGTTGGCATTGGAGATTAGGTCTGGCTCGCACGTTCACTCGGGGAGCTCCCGCTCGTGTGCGCGGCACGCAGTCGGCAAACTGGAGCCGCGACGGTCAAGAGAGCACACGAGCAGCCAACGCGTACACAGAGCGGCGCACTTGGAGACGCGCATTGGTTTAAGCGAGTCTGACTGCTGATGAGACACCGAATGTCGAAACCATTGCAGAGTGTGCTTGTGTTGAAACAATGCTGATTAAAAGGATGTACTCCAAGAAAACCATGCGGCTGATGGGATGGAGGCGTGTTGTTTATTTTATTATTGTTTTACTTAAACTCATCGAGTCCCTTGGAATTATTTTTTGAGCGGTTGATCAGTGAGCTGCTCTGTGGCTGTTTTCTGGGGGCTGTTTGAGAACATTCATCGTCTCATTCTGTACAAACACCGCTCACACAACTGGCTTTTTATTTAGATTAAGCACAAAGTCAACAATAGGTTCAACGCGTACGATATTCCCTCCTTATTCACGAACTTGCTATAATAGCTGCGATTTTGGCTATCAAAGAATCGCATCTGGAACGCTACACGACAACTGCATCGAGAGATAGAAATAAAGTAACGAGATAAAGTGATGAGCGTTAAAGTGATGAGAGATACATTGATGAGAGATAAAGTGAGAAAAGATAAAGTGATGAGATAAAATGTTGAGAGATAAAGTGATTGAGAGATAAAGTGATAAAGCGATGAGCGATAAATTGATTGAGAAGTAAAGTGATTATTCGAGACAGGTTTTGTGTACCTCGCTGCGTGTATATTTATTTTGCACAGACAATAAAGGCAAAGATTCCCCGTATGGCCTAAAAATACTTTTGGGGCAAGTGCTGGGAGCGAGCAGCACATATGAAGGCCGGCACAGCACACAAGGGCGTGGGTGGCCAGCACCACGCCCGGCCGGATACTCATTTGAGGCTGAGTCGACCTAGCGGAGGCCAGTTCAAATAAGTCACTGGTGCTGGCCATGAGCGGGAATCAAACTCGGGTCGCAGGGTTCGTAGCGCGGAGCGCTAACCACTACAAAAAACAAAGACAAAGATCCCCCGTATAGCCTTAACAGACTGTAGGGGCAAATGCTGTCAACGAGCACCTATGAAGGCCGGAACGGTACACGAGGTGGTGGGTGGCCAGCACCACGCCCGACCGCCTTTGTCTCCCCAGTGGCGATGTTTACACATCGCACCAGGTACTAATTTCAGGCTGAGTCGACCTAGGGGAGGCCCAGGACCGGTTCAGATAATCGTCACTGGTATTGGCCGTGAGCGGGAATCGAACCCGGGTCCCCAGGTTCATAGCGCAGCGCGCTAACCGCTACACTACCGCTCCCCCACTATGTCTGAAAATAAAAGTTTTGTGGGCTGGCTGGCTCGCTCGCGTGAGGGTAAGGTCACCGCGCTTAGCGTACCTAATTCGTGAACTCCATCGTCAAACCCAAGAAACCGAAGACGTCCAATCTAACTGCATTGTTTAACGATCACAAGAACAAGAATTGGAAGAAGTGACAAAGTCGTTTTTCTGTTGCACCACCACCAATGTTTCGGAACAACATTGTTTCCTCCCCTTAACATCGTAAATCTAGATTTAAAGCTTTCGTGACTGCAGTAATTCATATTCTTAGTTCTTTCGGTAAAGTCACGTTGAAGGGAAACAACAAAATAATAAAATATATATAAAACAATAAAAAATTCTCACGACGTTTCGACCATAACACAAACGGTCGTCTTCAGGTGTGTTGGTTTGCATAAATTAATTTTTAAACGGTGTATTTATTTATGGTCGAAACGTCGTGAGAATTTTTATTGTTTTATATATATATATTATTATTTTGTTGTTTCCCTTCAACGTGACTTTACCGAAAGAACTAAGAATATCGTAAATCTACCTTTAAAAAATACCGTGAAGCAGAAGTTGAGTATGGATACAACCACATTTTCCAACGTGATTTGTAATTTTGATCCTTGCTCGTGTATCAATAGTTCAATTTGAATGTGCAATGTTTTTATTTATTGAGGGACCGTGTGTGTTGCCCTGGTGTGGTCTGGGACTTTTGTTGTTGTTTTTGCTGTCTTGCTCCGAGCTTGCATTTAGTGTTGGAAAAATCGGTAGCAATTTATGTACTTTTGCAATTTGTACTTACATGCTTAGTGTATAACACGTCGGCTTTCGCGACCAATATTATTCATAAAAAGGTTTTTGGGTTAGATCGCACGAGTATAAATGTGATGTTAACCCACCACCACCCAACACAGCCAATTATTAAGATTTGTCACGTAACCAAAACGTGCCAGTTAGTTACTACTTCAAATTTTAAATGTAAATTTTTGACTTAAAACTTTCATCACTGCAGGAATTCTTTGGTTCTTTTGGTAAAGTCACGTAGATATCAGGAGATGATGATCGCGTGTGTTGCGATCGAAACGTCGTAGTTTATTTTATTTTATTTACTTTACTTTTTTTTCTATCTACGTGACTTTACCGAAATAACCAAATAATATTGTAAATGTTGTTGTGGGTTTACTCTCCAACACACATCCGTGTGTGATGAACGAGTCACGAATTGGCACGTTTTATTTACGTGACAAACCTTACTAATTAACTGTGTCGGGTGGTGGGTTTAACAGGCACTTCCGACGACACTGGACGACGACGCCTTGGGGGCGTTCTATGCCATTCCGCCGGAGGACCGCCAAACGCTTCCACAAGCTCTTGCCTAGATGGCGGGAATGTTTGAGCCGCCATCTAATGTGCGACACAAGTTTGCTTCATGATGGCTGGGGGAGGCCGAGCCGCCCCTTGCCTTCCGCAGCGCGCTACTGTCGTTGGCGCAGGCTGCATACCCAAAGATGGACAAGGACAGGTTGGACTCCTTGGTCCAGGAGCGCATGTTGGGGCTGGCCCAGGAACTGGACATCATTTTTCCAGCCACAAAAGACGACGACTCGTCGTCTTCAAAGGTCGTGCGGTGTCTTCAGGCGTACTTCAATTTCAAGCGGCGTGCGAGAGTGGCGGCATGCACCGGACCCTCCGAGTTGGCGGAATCGCCCAAAGCCGTGGATCCTTCTCAAGCTTTCGCTTCGTTCGACGGCAACAGGTGGAGGAAGGACGAGGCAGAGCGGAAAGAAGATCGAAACTTGAGTAAAGTGACCGGCCTTCGCCCGAAAAGCACTCCCATCATCTGCTTCAAGTGCGGCCTGCCGGGACACATCTCGACAGGATGCCACGCTGCCTGAGGGAGACTCTCCACGGTGCCGTCGTTCTCCCCCCGGCCATCCTCGAATCCGCTGGGTTCCCAGGTGAGTCGCGGCACACCACACACCCGGCCCTTGCAGTCACCTCACGCATCGTATTCGGGCGCCGAGTAGCGTTCGCATGTTGGACAGCCCTGTCGGGTCGTTAAGCCAGAGAATCGGGGTTTAGTGGGCGATGGGTGGCCACGGCGGCCTGGTTAGTCGTCGGCGTTGGGCCACCGTATTGTTGCTGCGTTGGCGGGTTCGTCTGCCATCAATGGAACCATACAGTGGGTAGAGGTACGGATGCTCATTGGCACCGGAGCATCCACTACCATAATATCGGAAATGATTTGTGATTGTTTGCCGCAAAAATCGTGTGCACTTCGCACTGTTGAGATTCCATGTTTCGCCGCAAACGGCGGATCCCAGGGGATTATTGGACAAATATCGGCAAATGTATGCATTGGCGACACTCAGATGACAGGGCCAGTGTTAGTTGCAAAATCTTTGGCTGTACCATGTCTGTATTGTCCCCCAGCAAAGCAGCGCTACTGCGTGACACGTCATGAATTGTTGGCCATCGTGTATTTTATGCAACAATACCATCCGTACCTCTATGGCAGAGAGTTTGTGGTACATACGGATCACGCGACTGCCACCAGGGAACCAATGTGCTTGTCTCATGGGTAGGGGGCGGTGTAGACCCACGGTGCTGGGACGGGCGGGGTAGACCCACTGAGACGGGGGTCATCCTCGGTTGTTGTGGTAACAATGTACGTTACAACCACCGGTACTGCTGACGCGTGCGACAGCACCCTCGGTCTCACGCACACTGAATGGAGGCAGCTCAAGCGGAGGACGCCTCCTTACTTAAACTGAGACGCCGGGTCAAAAACATTGATGGTGGGGAGGATCGACGAGCGCTGTCCTCTGTGATCCTTAAAGGGGGTCTTTTGATGCAATGGGATGGTAAAATGCAACGATATAACATTGTGGTGGCCACCGTTCTGTGGGGCAAGGTTATATAGACTACGCATGAGCGATTGATGTACTTGGGCGTCCGGAAGACATTGTTGACTCTCTGACTTAACTTCTTTAGGCCCGGCATGGCAGACAATGTTTATAATGTTTTGAAGGGAT